ATGAGGTAATCGGATGGAACAGGAAGCAAGGGGAAGCTCAGAAGGGGCACTCAGAGCGTGAGCCTGGGCTGAGGAGTGAAGGTGTCATGGAAGCCTCCTCTCGCTGTAAGCTTGCTTTACACTCTGTTACTTTGTAAAAAAAGAATAAATACACACTGTGGTGAAAGATAATAACCTGGTGTGTGTTTGGGCCCATGCGAGCACACAAACTGACCAGGTAGTGACAGAGGCGCCCAGTGACAGCTCTTATTTTCAAGAAATACATTAAATTCTGCGACCTTTGGGCTCACAGAAGAACCCATGCTCAAAGTCACTTGGTCTTCTCTACCCCTTCCTCACGCCACCCCAGCCTTGGTCCACCGTGTCTCTAGATTTCCTTGTGGAGCTGCCCTGCTCTCATGGGTGCATGGTGATACTAGTCATGGTCGACCTCCTGATCAAGATGGTACAATTTGTTTCTTGCCACAAAATCTCTACTCTCCAGGAAACAGCGTGCCTCTTTTCTAGTTCCACAGTCTGCCAACCAGTAGCGTATCAGACCGAGGCCCACACTTCATCTCCCACTTTTGGCGTGAATTTTTTAGTTCCTTAGCGTGGAGCCCCCTCAGGCTAACGGGCAGATGGAATGGGTCAGTCAGGTCCTGGAGCAGTATCCCCATTGTTCCCTGAACTACCAACAAGGTGACCCTATGAGGACTTTGCCTACAATAATTCAACCCAGGCCTCAACACGATAGAGCCTGTTCTACATCAGTTATGGCTTCTATCCACGCTTTCACTGAGCCTCACCCACAGGTTTCCCCATACCTGCAGCCATATTAAAAAAGCATAACTTTAGAAGCAGCCAGAAACAAGATTGTGACTCACTGGACTGGAGAAATATGTGACTAACCAGCTTTCCATAGATCACCAACAAGTGCTCTGCAGACCACAATTTGGGATTTGTTGATTTAGAGGCAATTAACATAGGAACCCATGATACCATTTATACACAGCCACTTTTCAGAGTAGGACTACGCTTTGGAGGATGATGGTCAGATGTTCAGATGGTGTAAATTGGCATCGCTCCATTGACTTCCACAGAACTGTAATAATGTATACAAGTTGAGTATCTCGGCCCTGTGTCTCCCAGCAGATGAAAGTAAAGAGATCTGTAATTTAATGTTTTTATGACCCTTCAGCTCGGAGATTCCCCTCATTATTTTTTAAAATCATTATGAGTTCTAATAAGGTTTCTCTTAATTTCCTGTAATTTTTTGCCAGATTATACTGAACATGTGAACTTCTATACTGAACACTCCACTAAACATGCTGCATCTTTAATAAACAGTTGAGTGTATCCCTGCTTGTTGTTTAGTACACACCAGTGTAAATATTCTGTCTTTATATGAAAAGTTCATCAAAAGATGAAGCTGCAGAGTGGTGCCAAATAGCGCTTTGTCCAGATGGTGCGCATTCCCTGTGTGCTCCCTCTCCGTTCCTTAAATTCTTAATATTCCTTACCAGGTTATTTCAATATGTTTCCAGCTATGTGCTGTCAAAACAGTTGTTAAATAAATGTATTAAGGGATTTTGTTTTTATTTTACAGTGAAATTACAATGCTCATTATAAGTGCCAGATTAACAGCCCTGGAACCCAATTTTCTCAATTTATCCTCACAACAGGTGCAAGCTTTCCCACAATGCCCAGCAGTGTGCCCCAACTCAGACTTTTGAGGACTGCCTCAAGGGTTGAGGTGATACATTAAGTATCCCTCATTGAGCAGTCACTTGTCTCCTTGCTGAACCGACCAATGAGGGTGCTAATTGTCATCAGTGTCGTTTGTTATGTGGACACCTGGTCCAGCAGGAACTAGAATGAAGCCACAAACTTGTTTCATTTGTGTCTTTAAAGAGCTCTCAGGGGGCAAAGGCTTTTACTATTCTACTTCACCCAACCAGTGACATGCTGTAGTCTGTGTCTCATTACATATCCCTGGAGCCATACAGTCCCCCCAAGTACATGAAAACATTTTAGCATCTAGAAGTAGCTGTCCCTGGGACAAATTTCAAGCCAAAAAGTCAGTAGTGGAACAATATTCCAAAATCTATTCCAGAATAGAGTACAAGTTGCACTCTAGCATCTCATCAAAACCAAATGAATTTGCACCACATGCAGCAACTGGTGGTTGGGTTTTCGGAGAACAGGAATATTCCATATAAGGAACAGGCAGTGTTTACCCAAATGCTGTAAAAATCCCTCATTTCCAGCGCCTTAGAGACTCAAAAAACAACAGATTTCTTGTAACTATAGCAATCAGTTCCAGTGTGAGAGATCTCTATTATACTAAGCACTGAGATTGTTTAATGCTCTAGTAGTTTTACTGGCTAGAATGGGGATTTTTTATTCTGCTTGTAAATTGGTATGCTAACTTTATTGGCTAGATTGGTAAACTAAGATTAGATTTTAGATGAGCAAACTTTGGGGCCTTAAGAAATCTACTGAAAAGGTGCAATGGGAGGAAACATTTTTAGGATGCACTACTGTGATTGAAAGCTGAGGAATCCATCGGAGGCAAAAAAGGGTGCAGTTTCATCAGTCCTTTGGGGAAAAAAATACTACTTTGTATTAAATAATTAAATATTAATTGGGCTAGAGAGAGAAAGACACATAACCCTGTGGATAAGGCACTTGCCTGAGAGGTGGGAGACCCCTGTTCAAGTCCTTTGCCTCATCAAGCACAGTGGGGAATGGCCATTTTGGGTAGAGTTAGACATGCTCCAAGCACCCTTTAGTGGATTGAGTCCCAGAAGTGAGATAGGCAAGGGGAAGGCCTATCTTGACCAGCTTCAAAGATTGTGCTGGCACTTAAATATTCAGACATCTGCCTCTGGCAGTCAGGTGCATGTCCAGAGGTGAAAACTTAGGTGCCCAGGGAACTTTTACAGTGGAAATTTAGGCACGGAGTGAATTTGAGCATCTACTGAGTTAAACAGCAGACAAGAGGGAGTTTTGTGAATTGCAATAGCATCTAAATTGGGGACATATGCACCTAAATCTGGGGGTGCAAGTTCCTAAGTCCTTTTGTGGATCTGGGACTAATAGATTCATATCCCAAATAAGACATAATTTTGTTTTCTTTCTGATCCATCTGCAAGTACTGTGTGCCTTTAACTATCTCTCAGCAGAAGTGACCACATGCTAGCAATAATATTTGTGGAGAGGAATAGGAGTAATTTGAAACTAGGAATTGCTGAAACTTCCTATTTTCTCACTTTTTGAACTGCTTTGGTGGGTGTGATGAGGTGTGTACTCCACACAGGCTCTGAAGGGGTTAATGTGGGCCTGAGAGGCCAAATAACATACCTGACAGCACCTGAGAGAGAGGAGAGAGAGAGAGAGAGAGGCTTAATGGATGACCAAAGCCCAACTGGGACGGGGCTGGGTGGTGATTATAAAGGTAGGAAGTTTGTAGCATGAAGAGGCTTAGGGGATTTGGATAGATGTGGCTGGTTCTCTTGCTGGGGCTGAAGTGGAAAGCTGGTCAGGCTAAACTGCTGGTTGGGGAGAGATGGAAGTGATAACAAATGATACTCAAACCAGGCTAGAAAATGTGGATAGGGAAAGCATTGAGGAAGATTGGTTGAAAACAAGGAAAAAGAAAAGGATAGATTCTTTAGAACCAGCAGAAAGAACTGCAAGTGGGAATACAGGAATGGGACATGGGAGAACATTATATAACAGTAAAAGCCCAAGATAAAGATAGGGTATGTCAATCACCTGATGATTGCTGAATGGTTCAAAAAAGGTGTTGGAGATATAGTAAGATCTGGGAAACTACCTCATGGAGTCTTATTAGTGGAATGCAAAAACAAAGAACAAATAGGAAAGCTCCTTAAGACAAGACAAAGGTGCTAAGAAAGCTAAAAATGAACAGTTAGCTACCTGGATTCCTAACTGAAACAAACAGGGTAGATGCGACAGGTGTCAAAGATTTGGTCACTTAGCAAATAATTGCAAAGGGAAATTAATATGCAGCAAGTGTGGAGGAGACCATTCATATGATAATTATGAGGAAGGGACAGAACAAAAATGTTGTGACTGTGAAGGAAAACACAGCTCAGCATATGGAGAATGTACAGAGGCAAAGTAAGCTAAAGGAATATAAAAAACAAAATCATTAACATCTCATATGCAGAAGCTGCTAGGAGACACCTGGAGAGAAAAATAATACCCAGTTGGGGGCAGGGATTTCCAAGCAACAAAATACTGAGAAGAAAGTAATGAGTGACACTGGGGCAAAAGGAGATGATATACTACTTATAGAAAAAGAAATTGCATCTGTGACTGAAGGCATACATGGTACTTCTTTCAGACAGGAAAGAAAACAGAGAAAATGAGACTTATAGTTAAAGCTGCTGAAAAGTAACTATGAACTACCAATTTATCAGAGGAACATCTCCCATACTTTCCTAAGTGAAGGAAGTATTGAAGGTTACAAGAATGGGGGTAACTATTTTTATCTGGAATGCACACAGTCTTATCGCACATGGGCAGGAATTAAAGAAATGTTATTGATATGAAAACAAAGCGTGATATACTATGCATAAAAGAGGCTTGGCAAATAGAAAAACTAGACTAAAAAAATCCAAGATTTGGCATATATAGACATGCTAGAGAAATAGGAAAGGGTGGGGGTGTCTACACCTTTTGTTAAGGAGAATCTAAACTACCTTGATTTAGAGTTAAAAAGTTAAATATCAAGTATAATGCTGTTGAGATACTGACACAAAACAGCTCTGCATCTCTCAAACTACATAATGTTTATAACCCCTGCAGAAAACTAGACTATAGAACTGAAAGAATTAACTGCGGATGTTGCATGCCCATGTATTATCTGCAGTGATCTGAACAATCCCAACAGATTGTGGGAAAGTTGGAAAAATTATAAGAATGGAAAATGTCCTAGAGCAATTTTTTGAAGATAATAATTTAGTAATATTACATGGTGGAAAACCTACCAGGTTCACTGCAGCAGACTGAAGCCTTTCTTGCCAAGACCTGGGAATAGTTTCTAGTAACAGAGCAAGCAAATGCATCTAGGAAATTTACAGAGAGGATGAAATGGGTAGTGACCAGTTCCTGACATTCATTAGATATCCAGGAAAAGGAAATACAAAGACAAGACTAATACCCCTCTTGAAACCGAAAAAAATCAAATTGGAAACTATTTAACATGAGGAACACGTGGGCATGCAGTGTATCAGTGAGGATACTGAGGAATTCTGTAGTAATATTACTAAGGAAATTATAAAGACAGCCAGCCTAGCTATTCCTAGGATACCAACCTTTATAAAAGATAGAAAAGCGTACTGTGGTGGAACAAGGAATGATTACAGTTAATTAAGGAAAGGAACAAGGCATATAAGAAGCAAAAGCTACACTAAATGGTGAGGACTTAATGACGTATTAAAAAAAGTAAGGTACTTGCACATAGAGCTATAAAAAGGACGAAAAGAAAAAGCTGGAAGAAATCTGCGGGAAAGTAAAGTAAAGATATCAATACATCAGAGGTACACAAACAATTTCAGAAAATGAATGGAATAAGAATAAGAGCAACACAAAGCCTTGTAGTGGAAGGTCATAGAGTAATAAGCTCCAACAAAGAAAAAGCAGAAATTTTGGCCACCATGTTTCAAAAAGTCAGTAATGATGAGGCTCAGGGGATAGAAATTAGGGAAAGGAAAAGAACATTCCTTAATGATAATTATGACATAATGAATAGGTGGGAGGAAGGTGTCAATCTTATTTTAAATGAAAAATTCCGTATTCAGGACCTCCAAAAAGTGATGAAAAGGAGCAAAAGCACCACACAAGGCAAGGATAAAATAAGTTTTGAAATTCTCAAATACTTCATACTAGGTGATGAAAGCCTGAGGATAATGCTAAAATTAAACAATAGCATATAGAAGAAAGGGAAAATATCTATCTGGAAATATGTGATTATTGTCCCAGTGAAGAAACCAAGCAACATGCACTTTGGGCCTGAGGCATACAGACCAATTACCCTCGCAGCATATTTAGGTACAACTATGAAAAAGATGATGACAGACAGATTAGTAATATGCCTAGAAAGAACTAGGCTCATAGATGGAACACAAAGTGCGTTCAGAAGAAGTAGGAGTGTGACTGACCACATTGTACTGATAGAGACAGAAACATATAAAAGCTTGAAAACCAGTGAGAACATTGGAACCTTCTTGGACATAGAAAAAAGCCTACAATGAAGAGAGGGACTTTGTAAAAAGTGGCAACTATGGGTAATGTAGGAAGAATGTATAGATAGATAAGAGATTTTCTAAGCAAAAGAATATAAAAGTCCAGATACCAAAGGCCTTTTCCACCATATATTCCATTACAAATGGAACTCCACAGGGGAGTGTCATTAGCCTAACCCTTATTAAAATCGTAATAAATGACCTATCAAAGGAGACGAGTGCAGGAATAGGCATTACATTATTTTCTGAGGACTGTGCCATATGGATCAAAAGCAGAAATCTTGAAAATGCCACCAAAAGAATCAACGATGCACTTCAGAGTAGTTTAGAATGGGGAAACAGATGGGGTTTCAAGTTCTCCATTGATAAAACTAAAGGAATGATCTTCACAACTTGGATTGGAAGATTCAAAAAGAGGTAACATTATATTATATATATGACCAGCAGGTAAGTATAGTGGAAAAATTTCTTAGCTGTGATATTTGATAGGGACCATATTACAAATATTATAGATAAGTCCAAAGGGGAGAATCAACTTACTTAAAAGTATATCTGGAACCTCCAGGGGAGCAGATTAAAAAAAACAGTGATAGTGCTAAACAGAGTTCTAAACAGACCTAATATTGAGTATGGCTTCCAGGCCTTCAGGTCAGCATCAAAAACAAATCTGAGAAAACTAAACAGTATCCAAGCACAGGCATTGGGTATAGCATGTGGTGTCTTCATTACTACACTTGTGTGTGAAATGCAGGTAACAGCTAGAGAAATGCCTGTCAATGCCCCTCTGCCATGTACATTGGCCAAACAAGATAGTCTCTACGCAAAAGAATAAATGGACACAAATCAGATGTCAAGAATTATAACATTCAAAAACCAGATGGAGAACACTTCAACCTCCCTGGACACTGAATTACAGACTTAAAAGTGGCAATTCAACAAAAAAACTTCAAAAACAGACTCCAACGAGAAACTGCAGAACTGGAATTAATTTGCAAACTGGACACCATCAAATTAGGCCAATAAAGACTGGGAGTGGATGAGTCATTTCACAAACTAAAAACTATTTCCCCATGCTAATTTTCCCCCGACTGTTACTCACACCTTCTTGTCAACTGTTTGAAATGGGTCACCCTGATTACCACTACAAAAATGATTTTTCCTCCTGCTGATAATAGCCCACTTTAATTGAGCTGTCTTGTTAGAATTGGTAAGGCAACCCCCATCTTTCCATGTACTCTCTGTGTGTGTATATGTATCTTCCTACTGTATTTTCCACTCCATGCATCAAATGAAGTGGGTTTTAGCCCATAAAAGCTTATGCCCAAATAAATGTGTTAGTCTCTAAGGTGCCACAAGTACTCCTCGTTGTTTTTACTCTTAGAATGAAGATCCTAGACTTAAGCTTTTGGTCTAAAGCATTAGATGGTAGTGAAGATAACTCTACACTAATATGTACTGTTGGGGATTAACTGGAGACTGGTTAGGACAAAAACTCAAAATTCCTCATGTAAGTAGTGTAAAGAAGTGGGTAAAGGATGTCAATGAAAAGAAGGGCTTAAGAAAGGTCAAACTCTATAGCAAAGGGAAAATACACAATCACTGGAAATCCATCCCCCCCAAGATAGAAATGGAATTATATAATAAACAAAGGAGAAGAATGATAAATGTACAAGATTTAGCAAATCAGTGTATCTGTGATACATGGAGACACTATTGTCAAATGTATACTGACAGCTCCAAAGAAGAAGGAATGGGTAGAGCAGGAGCAGCTTTCTGTGTGCCTGTCTTTGGAGTCACGAAAGAGGTAAGGCTAGCTAATTTCATCTGTCTTTATGGCTGAGCTAACAGTGAATGGCAGTCATAGATTCAGGAAGTGAGTCTGCTGCTCCACAAACTCAAGAAGAAGAAGAAGTAGTAGTAGTAAGTGCTGAAGGAGAGAGTCTGCAGTCAGTCTCGGGGGTGGGGGAAGGGGATAAAAGAAATAAAATGTGGTCCAGAGAGACAGGTAGGACTCTGAGGGAGTAGACCTTGGCTGCTAGCTGCAGGGTCCATGAACGGAAACCCAGAGTAGAGGTTCCGCTACCAGCCACCAAGGAAGATGTGGTGAAACCCCCTGAGGTATGAGGTTTAATGACCATGGAGCCCAGAGACAGGCAGATCTGCTCTACAGTCATTGGATTAATGATGGGTTGGATTCTGTTATCCCGGAGGGGATTGACTAAAGCATGACCTGGCCAGAGGACCAAGTTGCAAAAAGAGAGACCACCAAAGTGACCATTGGCAGGGGGTGCCATATGGAAAGACAGCCACTACACCACTTCTGGCCACAAGGAGGAGTTCCTGCAGTGACTAAACCCCTTTACAGAGGGGAACATAAGACCTGATCATCCCCCAGTGAAGTTATTGAAAAGACTCCCATTGACTTCAACAGACTTTGGTTCAAGCCCATACTGCGTAAGGGATTTTGCCTTTACTGTTTGTCCTTTTGGAGTGCCACACTCCCTTTTTCTGCAGCACACACACAAGATGAGCATGGTGTGCACACACACAAATGCCCTACTCATGACAGGAGAATGAGACTTTTTTATTTTGCTAAAATTTATTTTCTTGATGTGTGTTGACACAATGGGAGGAAATTACATCTAATCTTCTGCAAAAATATGCCATGCACCAGACAGGAGATCTCAGTCCACTGTGTTTTATTGCAGTTTTTCAGACACTAGCAATGAAGAAGCTATAGCTGTAGATATACATAGAATAATGTTCAAAGCAAATTCATACAGTATCACTTCTCTCCGTGCAAGAAAAATGGGACTCCAAAGCCTAATAAATGTATCCGAAGTTTTAGGCTTAGTTAATTGTTCCATTTTCATAATGAATCTAATATTCCTGAAATGCACTGTGAGAGGACTTCCAACTTCTAGCATATGTTTACCTACTAATAGAAGCTGCAGAGCAAGAGTTCTTGGAGTGGTTTCTTGCCTAGCAAGTAATTAGCACCCAGCAATTTAATGTCACATTCAAATAATTAATCAATCCACTTGGCTGTTTTCCCCAGTATTCTCTTATTGCTGGGTTTTCCAGCAATAAGAGAATGCTGGGGAAAACAGTCAAGTGAATTGATTAATTAATAGAATTAAACATAACAGTCAGTATAACTTATGACCCCTAACTGTGTCAACCCTCATTCTTCCATATTTCCTGCTTGCTGTCCTCTGTTTACTGACATCCCTTGCTGTATTTTGTCTAATTTAGATTTTAATCTCTCCCAGGTAAGAGACTTGTCAGTTTTATTTTTCTAAATGCTATGCACACCTGGGATGATCTTTAAGTAATAAAATAATTACACTAAGTAAAGCTAAAAATAATTCTGTACATACGTCTATCAATGCTCCATAACACTGATTTGTAACCTACCCCTTCTTTTTCATTCTTGGCCTACTCTTGATCAGATGCAGTCATTGTAGTTAATTGTGTAATTGTTTTATGATGTGACCAGATATTGAGTAAGGATAAGTTTGAAACTAACAAACTTATCCTGATTGGTGACCTAGTTAAGATGTGAATGTTGATATTAAGATGTAAAATCTTGGTGCATAAATTAACTCATGCTACCATTTAGCCCTGTATCCCAGTGTAGAATTTTTTTCAAATTTTGTGTTTAGTAATTGTCAATGTTTCTTAAGCAATGCAGTTCTTGTTATAGGTAGCCTACTAAGACCAGACTCAGTGAAGTTGACAAATAAATGCAACTTGAATAACCCTGATCAAACTGATTTCAGATGAATGATATCCACCATTTTGTCTCCTTCTGCTGCTTCATGTG